CTTAGACTCACGTCTGAACTCCTGCTACTCGGTGGCGCTGTTCAGAAACGGAGTACCTTCGCTTCCTTTTGAAACAAAGTTCTTTGGCCGCTGGTTGCCTCGCTAGATTCTGACGTGACTGAGACGAAGGAAATTTTTGCACGCAAAAGTTCCAGATCGCGTCGGGCTCTTTCAACCTGTTCAGCCACGGAGAGTAGGTTTTTCTCCGACGATAGGTCGCGGTTATAAAGCGTGGACCGGAGGTAAAAAGTACTCGTGACTGGCGGAAGAGCCGGACCACACAGGAGTTCTGTTGGCTGATTAATTGAAATGGAAAATGGTCCTTTGACCGAGGAATGTTTTGCAAGGAGCCAAGTCACTGCGCAATTTCGCCCCGATGGCTACGTTTCCCGACCTTCCCTGTTTTTCGCCAGAGTCCAGAGAGTCCAATCCTTCTTTCATACGATACGCTTCTTTCCACGGTTTCCTCGGCCTCAATTGTACCACATTCTATGGAATGTTTCGCAGAGTGAACGGTAAAACTGGGAATAAATACCGTGGTGAGATACGAGGTTACTGCTTTTAACGCGAGGCTTCAATTTTACCGGTCTTCAGCCACGAGTGTGAGTTACTTTAATAAAGAAAGCGTCTAGTTGGATGAACAATTAGTGTTCCGTCCCGGAGAGCGTGTTTATAACATGATTTTTATTCTAAGGCTTACAATTTTAACAGACCTAGCGGTTTACGATATATTTTATATCGCGACTGCAATTCCGGAGGATAGATGTGCCTCACCGCCGTTCTAGCGGATCAAGTTGTAAAGGTAAAGGCGAAAGTTTAGGAATTTTTACAAGTACCAGACTCGACAGATGGGACCCACGTGTGACAGACCCAACAAGCGACGGACGGGCACCACTTATAAATCACGTCATTGACCATCAAAAATCGGCTCCTTGACAGTTTCCTACTCCTTAGCCAAAGGTCCTTCCGTCACACCCTCTGTCCAATTAAAACCCCTTACTTTTCCACCACCAACGTTTATTTTGCACGATCAGAACTAAACTGGAGAAAACACCGGACAGGACACGACGAGACACGACATAGATCAAATTCGAAAAATCGGTTCGTCTTCGACACCGATCCTTGAAACATCTTACTTACACGTATAAACGCGTGTTCGAAACGGTACTCCGTTCAACGTCTCCATTATAACTATTCTATACTTTTCTATAAATAAACGTTCTCTTTTATCAACACACACTTCGGGATCCTTAATATTACAACTAGTCACGCAATATTAATTTCGCGCGTGATAAGCGTTCTAGGATATCGAAGGGATTCGATAAATAGCACGTTACAATTAGTTTGAAAGAAAATATTCACTGGAAACGGGAGTACCACAGGTCAGAATAATTGAAACGAGTGTAGGATGATACTCGAGTGCTTAGGAGAGTCTTCTAATATCCTGCTTGATTTTTCATGTTTTTTGAAAAATCGTTGCAGAGACGCATTAAGATTTTATATTTTGAAATTAACAGGGTTTATTTGTACACTCTTCGACTACATGTGTTACAATTTTTGTTGAAAAATATTGAAAATTGTCGGTGTTACGAGTCGTTGTCTGAAGGACCTCTTAAAAATCTGTTATTGATGGTGTGCGTGATATAGGTTCTTTCTGTTATTGGAAATAAAAAACTCAACAGGATTCCTTTTTAGTATGAGTACAGCTATAAAGGGTACTAAATAAAACAAAAAATACAGATAGATAAAAAAATGATGATTCTTTGAATTTATTTTATCGATTTTTCCACTTTTTTTTTGAATATATCAGTGTGAAAAAAATAAAAAGAATATAAATTTTTGAATAATTTTAGTAGGGATTGTAGCCACGAGTATGCTGAATATTTGTGCAAAGTTTCGTGTTGATCTGTCAAATATTTTTTGAGAAATTACGGATAGGGTTTTGAAAGACACAATTTCGAGAAATTTAAAATTTCACGATTTTCATTCTTTTTGACATGAGATATTTTGGACTCTTTACAGTTTATTTTTGAAGACACTTCTACACTATTCGCGAATATGTAAAACTGTTAGCAAAACTAGATATGTCCGTATAACAATGACAGAGCCCATCACCTCATTGACACAGCTATAACTATATACATGATGCACTATGATATACATTTGCATAAAATAATAATACAAAAATAGAAATAAAAATAAATTTGGTCGAAACGTAACTTAATATTAATGATTATAATATCTAAAATAAATATCTAATAATATTTAAAGCAAGTATTCTTAACACCAAATCTATCAAAATTCAAATTGTGGTTTTCAAATTTATAATTAAAAATTTCCTGTTCAACGTTATCCCTTTGATCACTTATTTTATAATTTGTCTTTCAATATAGGTACAATTAATTTTTCAATATCTCCTCGTGACCCAATTTTTCTTTGAAATTTTTTAAATTTTATTTCTCCGGCTTTCAGTCATCTCACCTGTCATGGTAGGTTCAGTGATAAAAATACGTATTTAAAAAAAAAAAGAAAAATAAGGAAAACATGATTTTCTGATTCTAGACATTATTGTAGAATATCCTTTTAAAATTTTCGTCTACAATATCGTGCAAAAATACAATCGTCTATTTGTTATCCTCTTTATCATTCCCTTGTTGACGTGTGATTAATTGCTTCCTAATTATTTAATTTAATTGTCATAGAAGTTTGAATTTATGTATTATAAAATTTTATTTTTATTCGAGATTGAAATGCCTGTAGTCGATGTACTTCATTCGTGATTGTGCTCTCTGTATAATGTCTTTTGGAGGCTTTGACAATGCATGGGATTCTGGATCAAATTGCTTAATCAATAAAATGGCAACATTTCGATATGAAATTGCGTGTAACCTAATTCAATTGTTAAATAAACTGCTCGGAGGTTCGGGCTTTTCGGATGGTTTATCGATTCATAATGGCAGCTACAGTACTGAATACGTTTTAATGGCTAATTAATGGATTGGTATTATAGAAAATGTCATAGAAAATAAGGACAATTAAAAATCCATCGTATCGGCCACTTTAGTAAATTATGTACGGAATATCACGTTATTGTGATAAATTTCGAATTTAATTTGGCTTATTCGTTGTACTTAACCGAAAGCTACGATATGGGGTCAAAAATTCGGCGTTGCTCGATCGAGAGTTAATTTATGCGAGATCATAACGAAATTATCTCTTCCCCAATTTTATTTACCAATGTAATTTATGCCATCGACCATACTTAATTTTTTTCTTTTTTTAATAAATTTGGAATTCAATTTGGCTTATTCAAACGTCGCAATAGGGATTGAGGTTACAATGAAATCACCCCTTTTGAATTTTATTCGTTGTAATTTACATCTTCCACGATACCTCATATTTTCCCAAATATATTTTCAATCCAATTTAGCGTATTTATTAAGCGTGCACAAAAAGCACAATAGTGGGTCAAAAATTCGGCATTGTTCGTGATTTAATTTATGCGAGGTCGTAACGAAGTTACCCCTTATTCAATTTTATCTTACGCCATTTCTACATCTTCGACGATATTTTATTTTCAATAAATTTGGAATACAATTTGGTTTATCCAAAATTCGAAATTGTTCGATCATGGTTGCGGATTTACTCAGGACATTGATATTTTAGCTGGTTCTGCTTGAAATTGAAGAAAGGACGACTCTTCTTGTGACGATATACATTTGCGTAAAATAATAATACAAAAATGGAAATCAAAATAAATTTGGACGAAACGAAATTTAATATTAACGATTATAATATATAAAATAATATATCTACTTATATCAACCATAATCGGTTGAATTTTACTTTTAATTTTACTTTACGATATATATTTGTATAGAATAATAATACAAAAATAGAAATAAAAATAAATTTGGACGAAACGAAACTTAATATTAATGATTATAATAACTAAAATAATATATCTACTTATATCAACCATAATTAATTGGATTTTACTTTTAATTTTACTGTACGATATATATTTGCATAAAACAATTACACCAAAATAGGAACGAAAACAAAACTTGGACGAAACGAAACTTAATATTACCGATTATAATATATAAAATAATATATCTACTTATAACAACGATAATTAATTGGATTTTATTTTTAATTTTACTTTACGATATATATTTGCATAAAATAGTAATACAAAAATAGAAATAAAAACAAACTTGGACGAAACGTAACTTAATATTAACGATTACAATATCTAAAATAGTATATCTACTTATATCAACTATAATTAGTTGAAATTTACTTTTAATCTTATTTTACGATATACATTTGCATAAAATAATAATACCAAAATAAAAATAAAAACAAATTTGAACGAAACGAAACTTAATATTACCGATTATAGTATCTAAAATAATATATCTACTTATAACAACGATAATTAATTGGATTTTATTTTTAATTTTACTTTGCGATATATATTTGCACAAAATAATAATACAAAAATACAAATAAAAATAAATTTGGACGAAACGAAACTTAATATTAACGATTATAATACCTAAATAATATATCTACTTATATCAACCATAATCAATTGGATTTTACTTTTAATTTTACTTTTCGATATATATTTGCACAAAATAATAATACAAAAATAGAAGTAAAAATAAATTTGGACGAAACGAAACATAATATTATCGAGTATAATAACTAAAATAATATATGTTTAAATTTTGCTTTTAATTTTTACTTTTTTTTCACTTTGCGTTTGATGACAATCTAGACACGACAAGATCAATAGCTCTTCCAGTGGTTTCTGTCTCAACAAGTACACTATTCGTACACATACGTTATCTCTGAACGAAATTATTACGTATATGTTCAATATAGAAATTTTCCTTTGTCTATTTTACCTAGCGTTATTTACACCATCGACCACGACTTATTTATTCCTGTATTCTTTATGCTTCGAAAGTGGTATGGAATGTACTCACCAGGAAGTATCGCAAGCATGCGTCAAGGTAAGGTATCTCGCGCCCAGGCCGTAAAATGTCCTGAGAACACCCAGGGAATTCCCTAGGGAGTGACCACCTTCCACCCCGATGAGACTTGCGATTTTGCCTTCTCGATGCGCCTCGATAAGACCTATGCACATGGAAACAAATATCACTTCGTTTAATTTCCTCGAATAATAACTCGTAATTATTAATTGCCTACTTATTTGCATATTTGGCTACACTCGATTAAAATTCCGCGCTCCGAGTTCGATCTTCGCGAGCAGCATGCTAGGGTGAATGCAAATCGGAGTATCGTTGCGATTATAATTGTTCATTATATTCTGTTATTGTTCGTTAAACTGCAATTACGAGTTTTATCGCATAATCCATCGCAATTATTTACTCGTATAAAATGCTTAATTATAAAATATTTCTCTGTTCCCTATTTGTTTATTTCGCGATGCTGGTGAATTTATAGAGAGGATGGTTGTAATTTGCATGGAAAAATTTCTGCCGTGGGTTTATCAGGGATGAACGAATTGCTCGGAACGAGTTGAACGAGACCGGAGTTGTCATACCGGATTATTTAAATTCAGTGAGGAATATTTGAGCGAGATAGACGTTCTCTGTTCATCTGCTTAGTGCTTTCAGACCTTGCAGGTTTGATTCCGTATGAATCGTGTTTACTTCGCGAATCAGGAAGCCTCTTATCCTTCCACTCCTTTCAATACTCGTTTTCGCTGTATTACCCTATTTGCTCGGCTATTAGTGATAATTATGGCACCTGTCAAAATGCATAGCGTTCTACCAATTTTCTAAATAGGCAATAAATTCAAATGGTAAAACAAAAATCGCATAATTTAAATTAGGTTTAATTTTGCAAAATTTCGAAGCATTTCTAATTTCTTTAACGAGCTGAGATGATTGACAATGATAATAAGAGGGTTGTAACTAGGCAATAAATTCAAATGGTAAAACAAAAATCGTATGATTTAAATCAGGTTGTATTTTGTAAAATTTCGAAGCATTTCTAGCTTCAGCAACGAGTTCCGATGACTAATAATGACACTAAGAAGGTTGTAACTCGTTTAATTCATAAATTTACTCGTTTAATCTCTATAAATTTACTAAAAGAATCTTAATTTAGCTGCAAGAAAAATATAAGGCACGTAAATAGTTGATTAAATACATATAATTGAATTTTATCACTTCTCAATTCTATATCTGTGTTTCCTTTAACTCTTTGGGGCACGCTGGGATTAAAAGTGTCCCACCTTTTTGATGCACCCTAATGCGTAGTGGGACATTTTTAGTCCCACCTGGAAATATTGCAATAGCTGCATGCACATAGGTTTATATTTCGTCTTATTTACGTAAAGCAGTTGGTAATGCCTTCGACAAATGATATACATGTATTCGCTTGTGTTGGCAACATTCAACATAGAACGGTGGGACTATTTGAGTCCCACCCTATAACAGTAAATTCAATTAAATTGTTGTAGGAATGGTAAATGAGAGGCGCTCTTTTATTAGGATAGAGTGTCCCCGTCTGGAACGTAGGTCTAGAGGACCTCTTAGTATCCGACTGACCCAGATGGGCCGTAGGTGGTTGGGGCCAGGTTACGTGAGATGGGGCCAGGCCATGTGAGGTGGCCTCGCGCAACTCCGGCTTTCCTCGGCATGAACCGAGGGTGGCGCGACCGCGTCATCTCTCGGGAAAGGGTCCCCGCGACAATGACCCTTCGGAGGAGCTAACTCGGAGGGAAGGGTCTCCTCCGCCTGACATTGGCGTAGAGGGAGTTTCTCTTCCTTCGGGGAGGCGCTTGACCTGTGGACCAGCTCTAAAAGTGCCCTTTCTGGAAGACAGGGTCAGTTCCAAGTTGCTAAGGAGTTACTAAACAGTTACTAAGTGGATTATCAAGTGACTGAGAGGAATCGTCATAGTAGTCGTCAGATCAGTGCATGAAGAGATAGAGCTATTTTGAATTATTTTAAAATTACTATATTATTATTTTTTTATGTTTTTACATTATGTGATTCCTTCATTAGTAAAAATATAGCAATGCATAGGAATGCATAGGAATTATTTTAAAATTCCTGTATCATTACTTTTTTGTTTTTACATTATGTGATTCCTTCATTAGTAAAAATATAGAAATTTTGTTTCATTTAAAACACAATGAAATTGCTATGCAACATGGATCTATTTCATTATCTGACATCCTGTGCCGCAAAGAGTTAATATATCAAAAATTCAATTTATTTCATTATTTTTACCGTTAACATAGATAGGGATCTCTATATTGTTATTTACGTGGAGTTTCATTAAGTTTAATTTCCATTAAAACTTTATCCGATGTATACGTACGACGGTCTTTAAATACATTTCAATTTTCATTAAAAAAGAAATATCACGCGACGATAAGAATAGGATTACACTTGCATTATTAAGTCGAATGCTCGTGCTCGAGGAAATTTAATGGAGGAACTACACCACTGTATGGAAGTAAATGCTGAGACGTGACTAATAACACATTCGCAAAGGAGTGTTCCCTAAGGAAAGATCGTTACAATTGGATGAAAAGAAATCCAATCTCTTTGTCTTCTGAAAGATTTTCCTTCTTGAAAGAGCCTTGTATATGGAGTTTCTCGAATATTCTTCATATTTTACGATACAAGAAACAGAAGAAGAGAATAAATGCATAAGAAAATGGCATCTTATAAAATGGAAGAATAAAAGGAAAAACGATATTTCTCCATTGCGCTGTGTATAATGTCTGCCATTTATTGAGAAAGATATTAACAACACGTTGCACAAAATTCTTCTTATCTTTACCCATTTTATATTTTATTTGAAAGTACAAAGTGAATTTAGATTATTTCTATACGTGCATTTATATACATGTTAGAAATTTTTCAGTGAAATAATTTTCCAACGTGAGAAAATATCGATCAGATTTTCGTGGAAAATATGTGAAACCAATTTTTACAAATGTCTGAAAATATCAGACAGTCAAATAAGTTCAGTAAAATTGCTATTGACAGAATCACTATGTTTCGAGTTATAATTTTCACCAAATTTATTTATTTCATCCGAAACAATCGAGAATGTGATTTCCAAATTTATTATTTGCAAATGGAAAATAAGATTGTTCCACTCTTGACTGCTTTTCTTTTAATTCGAGGGTATTATTTCACGTTTGCACTGCGATTTCTTTCACATTCGCCATTAGGCTGTTGGAAATTTTCAATATAAATTCGCCGTGCAAATCGCGCTGTTCTACCAAATTTATTTGCAGGTATCAAACACTGGTTTCTGTAGAGTTTGCAAAGCTGTGTACACAACGCGCCAATGATACATTTATTTGTAACCACATTGTATAATCGTGTCAATATCCGATTGACGTGTATATTTCAGCGAGAAGTTTCGACACATTCACGGAGCACAATGTTCGTTTCTACTCTATTCGATGTTCAAATACGAAGTTCGACATGTAGGTTACTTGAAATACAACTGCGAAATTCCAAGAATCTAGTGCAAGTTTAAAATAGGGCGTACAACTTCAAGTACCGACCATTCGGCCAAGCTAAATTTTCCTTTCGAAGTTACTCTAGAGATGTTGTTTACCTCGTTGGGAGGAAAAGAGGGGTCGTAAAATATTTAACGGACATATTGGGGTGGTTTTCTTAGAAGGGAGAAACAAGGACGTGGAAGCTGCTTTTGGAAGGATACTATACTACCATACAAGAAGATGGTACATGCTGCTTTCTTTAATTTCGAGCTGACGTACGTAAATACGATTTCACAATTTCAGCCAATGGTATCGTGATTTACTCTCTCGTGTCTACAGTGTGTAACAAAAATAAGAAAAACAAGGAACAAAGGATACAACATCCTATGATCTTTAGTGTTCCCTGAGTAATTGCGAAAAAATCATACTATTACAAATCAAATTTGATTTCAGAGGGTAAGGCTAGTATTATTCGAAGTAGTTGGAAAAAATTACTATCTTTGAAATATTTTCGTAAATATAGTAAAAAATCGACAGTGCTTGTCCATTTATTTTCTAAATTTAAGAAAGATCATAATTTTTATTAGTTCTACCTCATTATCATATATATTTTTTAAATTGTAAGTAGAAAGGAAAAAATTTCAAAATTTCTCTCATTGTAAGCCAAAAAATTGTCTCTCAAAGGCACATCAGCTTCAAACGACATATCAACAACCTTTGAAATATAGTAAAACATCGACAATTTTTATTAATTTATTTTGTAAATCTAAAAAAGATCAGAATTTTTGATATGCCTAACTATTATCCCAAATCTTTTTAATTATAAAGAGGAAGGAAAAAGTCTAAAAATTTCTCTGATTGTAAGTCAAAAAATTGTCTCTCAAAAGCACATCAACTTCGTTTATCAACACCTATATTTTCGAGAATATTCAATTTTCATGCTATATATTAAATTGCTCAAAAAATAACATCGGTATCTTCAATATAAAATGTTGATCACTCCGTTTGAAACAAACAAAGCTTTATTAAACACTATACCGATCATGTCAATCTAAAATAAATAATTCCAATCAGAAATATTGCTACGTATCAAAATAAAAGAAGTGCACCATCCATAAGTGCAAAATAATATAAAATTGCAAATAATAAAAATTGCAATGTAAAAAGACAACTAGAAACAAAGTACAGGTATAAATAACACAGGAAATAAAATAAAATATAAACGATAACCAAGTAAACAAATTATATTATATAATTGTGTATTATATGTATATTATGATATATTATATTATATATTATAATTGTATAATATGTATAATAAATAATTTCAATCAGGAACGTTGCTTTGTGTCAAAATAAAAGAAGTGCACCATCTATAAATGCAAAATAATACAAAATTGCAATGTAAAAAGACAAATAGAAACAAAGGACATGTATAAACAACACAGGAAATAAAATAAAACATGAACGATAATCAAGTAAACAAATTATATTATATAATTGTATACTATATTATGTTATATATTATAATTGTATAATA